CTGGGTTCAGGCAATTCTCCTGCCTCAGCCTCCTGAGTAGCTGGGGTTACAGGCACGTGCCACCATGCCCAGCTAATTTTTTGTAGTTTTAGTAGAGATGGGGTTTCACCATGTTGCCCAGGAGGGTCTTGATCTCTTGACCTCGTGATCCACCCGCCTCGGCCTCCCAAAGTGCTGGGATTACAGGCGTGAGCCACCGCGCCCGGCCTTAAATCGCTTTATTCTTGAAAAGTGGGTTAGCTCAGTGGCTGACGCTTGTAATCCCAGCACTTTAGGGGGCTGAGGCTGGAAGATCGCTTCTCTTTAGTCTCAGCCTGGACAACATGGCAAAACCCCATCTCTACAAACAAAACAAAAATTAGCAGGGCGTGGTAGCACACACTGTAGTCCCAGCTACTCGGGAGGCTGAGACGGGAGGATAGCTTGAGCCTGGGTGGTGGAGGCTGCAGTGAGATCGCGCCATTGCACTCCAGCCTGGGGGCCAGAGCGAGACTCCTCAAAAAAAAGAAAAAAGAAAAGAAAGAAAAGGCAAAAAGAAAAACAGGGAGAAGATTAAGCGACAAGCGAGGTAGGTGGAACCAATGTGGTATCCTAGAACTCAAGTGAAGTCAGTTGAGGAATGAGAACAGACATTTGGATTTACATTGTGAATCACATGCAGTGAGCCGAGATCACGCCATTGCACTCCGGGCAACAGAGCGAGACGCCGTCTTAAAACGAAAAAAAAGTTCAAAAGGGTTAGTGGCCCCAGAGAAGGATCACTTCATTACCAATTAAGATGATTAGCTAGTCATGGCTCACACCTGTAGTCCCAGCTACTCGGAGGCTGAGGCACGAGAATAGCTTGAACACGAGAGGTGGAAGTTGCGGTGAGCTGAGACTACGCCACGGCACTCCAGCCTGGACAACAGAGTAAGACTCCGTCTCAAAAGAAAGAAAAGAAAGAAAAGAAAAATTAAGATGAACTCCCTTCGGTCAGGTGGAATCAGGACGCGCTGGCTTTCTCGCTGGAGTCTCCTGCGGCCGTGCCTGGAGCCCACTTCCCGTGCAGTCCTCCGAGGCGCGGCCTCCAGCAGGGGTCGCTGCTTCGCCGCCGCCCTGGCCTCGCGTCCCGCCCGACCCGCTCTCACCGCGGCAGCGCCGGCGGAAGGGGCGGGGCGCAGGTAGGGGTGGCCTGGAGGCCTGCAGTCCGCGCGGCCGCGGGGAGGGACGGGAGGCCCTGACGTACAGGTGAGTGCGCCCCTGCCGGCGCGCCCACGGCCCGCGCCCCCTGTCGCTTCTCCCTGCGCCCCTCTGCCCCGCCCACGTTCCCGCTAGGTCTTCCCGTGAGCGTCCCGTGTCCTGCCAGCCTCGGGACGCCCCGCGAGCCCAGGGCTGCGCAGGGGCTGTGGCCGTTGAGTGCGGCAAAGCCGTCCGCCCCGCGCGGTTGCTCCTGCTGGCTCCGAATGCAGACTGAGAACCTGGGGACGCAGTTGTCCATTTCCTTTGACCTTGGGGACCCAAGAAGGTGCACTGCCCGGGGGGGCGGGGAGGGAGCGAGAGGAACCAGCCCCTATCTCTGCCCGCAGCCTCCGAGGTCTCCAAGGGAAGGGAGGGATCTGTAGCTGCATTTAGACCAATTTCTCCATCTTACGGAGCGGTGAACGGGCTCAGGAATGTGGAGCGTTTCCTGGAGTCAAATAGGTCAAACTCTGCGCTGCTTTTCTTACAATCTTCGCTTAGTTCAGACTGTATACCTCTCCTGAAGATCTCACCCAAAACCTATGAGCCTCTGCCGTGATCATCCCTCCACTCACCACACGAGAACGCGAAAGAGATTCTGTCAGGTGTTCTAACACCCATCATTGCTGGGACTTTTCCCGGTTATTCGAATGCACCCGTCCCCTTGATGGATTTTTATTCCACAGGGTGTGGTTGTTTCGTTGTTTTTTTAAGACTATCTCACTCTGTCGCCAAGGCTAGAGTACAGTGGTATGAACTCCACTCACTGCAGCCTCCCGCTCCCAGGTTCAAGCGATTCTCCTGCCTCAGCCTCCCGATTAGCTGTGACTACAGGTGCCTGCCATCACGCCTGGCTAATTCCTTTTTTTTTTTTTCTTTTTTTTTTGTTTTCGAGATGGAGTTTGCTCTTGTTTCCCAGGCTGGAGTGTAATGGAAAGATTTCGGCTCACCGCAACCTCCGCTCCCCCATCCAGGTTCAAGTAATTCTCCTGCCTCAGCCTCCCGAGTAGCTGGGATTATAGGCATTCGCCACCACGCCCGGCTCATTTTGTATTTAGTAGAGACGGGGTTTCTCCATGTTGGTCAGGCTGGTGTCGAACTCCCAACCTCAGGTGATCCACCCGTCCCAAAGTGCTGGGATGACAGGCGTGAGCCACCGCGCCCAGCCAAGCCTCTGTCTGTTTTTATTTTAGATCTCACTGTGTTGCCCAGGCTGACTGCGAACTCCTGGGCACAAGCAATGCAATTCTTCTGCCTTGGCCTCCCTAAGTGCTGGGATTATGGGCATGAGCCACCTGCCTGGCCTCATCCTGCCCTCTCAATCCCCCTTACCCTGCTCCACTTTCTTTCCCCAGAGCATTAACCACCAGCTATCATGTAATTTACAGGGTTTTTTTGTTTGTTTGGCTACCTGTTCCCCCTACTAGAATATAAACTCTACAATAGTAGAATCTTTATATTTTTTTTCCTCTGCTGAATTCCTAATGCCCAGATTTGTGCTTGGCACATAATATGTGCTTCATTAAAGGAAGGAGGCCAGTGTTGCTGAAGCTGAATGAGCAAAGGTCAGAGTGGTAGATGAGGCTGGAGAGGAAAAGGAGGTTGAGGAAGCATCAGGTCCTGTAGAGCCTTTAGACTGTGGTAGAGTCTTTGCTTTTTTCTGAGTGCTTTTGTAGCGATTTGAGGAAAGGAGTGACTTGGTATGAATGACTTTATTATGTACCCACGTGGAGGTGTCAAATAGGCAATTAGATATTGTGTTGCAGGTCCCCAAGTTGATTGATTCACTAAGAGGGTTCAAAGGACTCAGCATATAGCTATACTCAGCTGTGATTTATTATCGCAAAAGGCTACAAAGCAAAATAAGCAAGGGGAAAAGATGTATGGGACAAAGTCTGGAGGAAACCAGGTGCAGTCTTCTAAGAGTCCTCTCCTAGTGGAGTCACATGGGGTATGTTTAATTCTTGCAGCATCAAATTATGACAAGATGTGAGAGATGTCTATCAGGAAAGCTCATACAGCTTTTTCCAATAAAAAGTCACAGAGGCACTGTGCTTAGAATGCGCCAAAATTTCGGCCTCCCAGAAAACGCAGGTGTTCAGAATCAATCACATCGTTTGTACAGTTTCAGCACAATGAGCCACTCTTATCCATCTGGGAGTTGTGGGAACCCTCGTGAAGTTCAAGTTCCCAAACACTAGCCAAGGGCCAACTTTGCAAGCAGATGTTTCTAAGGATAGCAATCTCAGGCCTGTTAACTCTTTTCTGCACAGATGTGTGAGTCCGGAATTTGGGAGAAAGTTCTGGAATGAGGATATAGATTAGGATGTAGTTGGCATATAGGTGGTATTTAAAGCCACAGAAATGACTGGTGTCTTGATAATGCATTTGTTAGAACTAATTGGGTACACTTAAGAGCTGAGCTGCATAAAAATGTAGAAGAGAAGAGCCCTGGGCCCCTCCAACTTTAAGATGTTAAGGAGGGCCAGGTGCAGTGACTCACGCCGGTAATCGCAGCACTTTGGGAGGCTGAGGCACACAGATCACTTGAGGTCAGGAGTTCTAGACCAGCCTGACCAACATGATAAAACCCCGTCTCTACTAAAAATACAAAAATTAGCCTGGTGTGGTGGTGGGCGCCTATAATCCCAGCTACTCTGGAGACTAAGGTGGGAGAATATGGCTTGAACCTGGGAGGCACAGGTTGCAGTGAGCTGAGATCGCACCACTGCACTCTAGCCTGAACAACACAGGGAGAAGAGAAGGAGGCAGCAAAGGAGTCTTTTTTTACCTTTTTCTTTTATTTATTTATTTTTTTTGAGATAAGTTTTGCTCTTGTTGCCCAGCCTGGAGTGCAATGGCTTAATCTCGGCTCACTGCAGCCTCTGCCTCCCAGATTCAAGTGATTCTCCTGCCTCAGCCTCCCGAGTAGCTGGGATTACAAGTGTTGCTGAGAAGTCAATTAAGATGAGGACTCACATGACCTTTTGGATTTAGAAAATGAAAGGAGTAGAATTGAGGAGAGTTAGACAACCATTTTGAGGAATTTTATAGTAAAGAAGAGCAAGATCAGGAGGTTGAGGCAGGAGAATCCCTTGAACCTGGGAAGCAGAGGTTGCAGTGAGCCGAGATCAAGCCACTGCACTCCAGCCTGGGCAACAGAGGGAGACTCAGTCCCAAAAAAAAAAAAAAAAAATGTGGTAGCTGAGGAGTAGTGGAGGCGAGAGCTTTGTGTAATCGCCTGCTTCTGAATGAAAGAAAAGGAACAGCATCCTGCCCTTTACTATAGCCACCCCCATGTTCACTTATTTCCTCGTGTATGCCAGGTGCCTGGTATAAAGCACACAGTCCTTGTCATCAGGGAACTGCCATTTAAGTGGAATGTGGGCAAGTAAACTGACTGCCAGACCACACATGTGAAAGCAGGTCTAGGGGAAGCTGAGCATCCTTGAATGAGAAAAATTAACAGCATGCCAATGGAATGGCCCATTAGAAAGCAAAAGAATCACTGTTGTAACTTGATGTTTCCCCATAGCTCAGTTTTAGGCCACCTTTGCTGTCAGAACTTTGTAGGCATCCTTGCTCTGAGCTCCGGCTGGTGCAGCCCTCAGCCTCTCCTGGACCTGCTTTCACATGGGTGCCCTGGCAGTTACTTGCCCACATTCCACTTAAATGGCAGTTCTCTGACGATAAGGACTGTGTGTTTTATATTAAGCCTACCCAGGCACTTGTGAGCAAATGAATGAATCTGGGGGTGGTTACAGTGATGAGCAGGATGCTCATTTCATTTGTAGAAATTGAATCTGCAGCCATTCACTGGTGTATGTCCTGAGCAGAGGAGTGAAGAACAGGGCACTGTGTAGGCGCTATCACTACCCTTAGAGTTTAGGAGATAATTTGTGACCTAATTCAAAAGTTACTAAAAACATAATAGTGTTGGTGCAACCAGAGTATGGAAAAGGACGTGTGGGGCATGACTTGGTAGAGGAGGTTGGGGCTCATGTGGATTCTGGAGAAAGAGGACACGGTGACGAAAAGACAAGAATTTTTCAGTAGTAAATTTTTTTTT